GTCCAGGTGACTTCAAGTGTCTCCAGGTGCCTCCAGGTGTGTCCAGGTGTGGTGGGTCTGTCCAGCAGCATGGCGGTGTGCCTGCAGGTGGTGGGTCTGCTTCTGGGCGTGGTGTCCTGGTGCCTCCAGTCCAGCTGCACCTCGTCCCAGGTGTGGAAGGTGCGGAGTCAGGCCGAGTCGGTCAGCAGCAGCCAGTGGACGTTTGAAGGTCTGTGGATGAGCTGCGCCGCCACGTCGCTCGGCTCGGTCCAGTGCAGCCGCTTCAAGACGGTTCTGGGCCTCCCGGGTAAGAAGTCGACCGATTATGTTCCTCGAAACGTTCTTCCTGTGTTCTTTAGTCCTCTAAACGCTGTTCCACCTGCAGCTCACCTGCAGGCCTGCCGAGCCCTGATGATCATCTCGCTGCTGCTCGGTCTCGCCTCCATCGTCGTCTCCGTTCTCGGACTCAAATGCACCAAAATCGGCCGAACGTCGGATCAAGTCAAGGATCAGATCGCTCTGAGCGGAGGAGTCATGTTCATCCTGTCCGGTACGGCGCTGCAACAACTCCTCTTAAAGGGGAAGTACACGAAAAAAACAAGGAGTTCAAGGTCTTTATTTACCGTTTGTGGACAAACAGACAGTCGGGGAACATCGGAGTTCTTGTGGAGGGTTCTCTGGGAGTCGAGTAGAAACATCTCATAACACATAAAGTAGACGTTGAAGCAGCTTCACGTCTTCGTCTGGAAACAACTGAATGAAACAAACTCACCGGAACTAACAGGTTTAGTTTAAGGATTGCAGGTTTCACTGAGTTCTTTATTAACGTTCTAAGATCTCAGCGGTTCTTCAAATCAGTCATTTACAGGTGAACATGGAGGTTATTGGGTCAGACAGCAGTGAGGAACCTTTGGACCGTCTTCAAGAAATGTTTTACAGATTCTGAAGCCATCGTGGACAAGTTTGTACCATTTTTAGAACATAGAGTTGAACCATTTTTGGCCCATTTTACTTGTTGGGTGTGTCTGTGGGTGTGCATTAGAACTTTATTAGATAGAACTTTATTTACGTGTTATTTGAGGTGTTTTCTGAGTTATTTTTGACCATTTTAGACCATTTTTGTTTCCTTTTGGACACGTTCATGTCCCTCCAGACACATTTGTAGTTGGTTTGGATGAGTTTCGTAGATGATTTTGAGCCATTTTGGACTTTTTAAATCATTTTCTGTAACTTTGAGACAGTTTCATGTCGTTTTAGATGCATTTTATCACTTTAGGACACTTCCAACGACAACTGTTAACACATTCTTGATGTGTTTTTGTTGTTTTGGAGTCGTTTTTCACAGCTGATGAATCATTTTAGGCGTGTAGGTTCGTTATTTGCCTGAATGTTGTGAACTTGTGATTATTCTTCAGCTGGTGTTTGTTCAGTTTCCAGCTGACGTCCAGTTTTTCTTCTTCAGGTGTTTTTACTCTGACGGCGGTTTCCTGGTACGCTGCCCGAGTCATCCAGGACTTCTATGATCCTCTCTACGGAGGCGTCCGGTCAGTCACCTCATATATATATATGATGTTTATCTATGTATATGTTGGTGCTGCTGACGCTGAGTGTTGCTGCTGCAGGTTCGAGCTCGGTACTGGTCTGTATCTGGGCTGGGCGGCGTCCAGTCTGGCTCTACTGGGAGGATCGATGCTGTGCTGCTCCTGCAGGAGGAAAAACTCTCCACCTCCTGTCAGGTAAACATAAATAAAACCTCCTGGACCAGTAAATACATGCAGCAGAACCAGTGAACAGAGGAGCCAGTTGTTGGAGATCCATCCAGCTAATGGTGGAACATCTTCTACAGCTGATGAGACTCAAGCTGGACTAAAAAGTGTCCAAAATCATTTAAATTATCAGTAATTACTTAAAATGTTTTTAATTTCTATGGATTTCCAGTCATTTTTAACTTATTTAAAGTAATTTTGGAGACTTTTCTAGTTATTTTGGGGTCATTTTTAGACTCTAAACTGGACTAAACCTGGTCCACGATCACTCAAAAGTTGTAATTTTAAATCATTTTGAGAATATTTTCATTTAGTTTGACTTTTGGACAGTTTTCATGTTACTATCTACATGTTTTGAGTCACTTTGGTCGTTTTTCTTTCTACAGTTGGACCTAAAATGGGCCACAATAACTCTCCCTGTCCATATTTTTGAACATTTCGAATTTATTTTTGTTTTTAAAACATTTACAATAATTTTTGATTATTTTGTCAATTTGGACAAATTTTTTGTTATTTTGGAAAATGTTCACGTCACGTTTCAAACTTTTCGAGTCACTTTGAATCAATTTTGATTCATTTCGGACTTTTTTTCTGCGTCATTTTTCACAACTGTTGATTCTTGTGGAGAAAATTTTGTCATTTTGAACAAATTTTGAGTCACTTTTAGACAAACGACCGACAGCGAAAAGAAGAACATCAGTAAACAAGCACATAAATAAATATGGGGTCCAATAAATATAAAATATTTGAAAATGAGAACATAACTAATCAAAAACTAAGTAAATCTAGATGAACATACAATAACATAAAAATAAAATAAATCATTTTGAGCAGTTTTCAACATCTTTTATTCATCTGTGGACAATTTAAGTCACTTTAATGACTTCTAACTCATTTTTTTGAGGCATATTTTGAGTAATTTTCAGATGTTTAGGACACATTTGGACAAACTGACAAGACGACAGCTTGTAATATTAAATCCTCAAATAAATACTAAAATATTAAGAACTTATTTTGCACCTTTAGAGCAACTCAAGTTTTTTTTTTTTTTTTTTTACCAACAAGCTGATGATCAAAGAATTTGAGAGAAACTGGATACGAAAAACAAAAATGGTGCAAAACTCATAAAATAAAGCAGATATTTGAAGCTAAATGACTAAAATAAAACTGGATAAAACAGAAAAAAGGTACCGTGAGCAAAACCAGTGGAAAGGAATAAAAAAGTTTTTGGTTTTACTTTAAAACTTCGTCGCTGCTGTTTCATCATAAAATCTTTTTTTTTTTAGTTATAAATCCTGAAACAGCGACAGTCAGCTGCTGGTTGTTCTTCTGCCTGTCTGAGTCTTTGTTTTGTTCATCTTGTTCCCCTGCAGGCACTTCTCGTACTACTCCAGCTCCGGTCGAGGCCAGAACATCTACCGAGCGGCGTCGGACGGCGGCGGCAGCTCCAAAGCTTACGTCTGAACAAAAAGCACCTTTTTTAAAAACCTGATTTTCTGCCTGAATACAGGAGACTTCCTGTTTCTGTTCTGTTGTAAATAAAGTGTTTGTTGAATCTGAGCAGCTTCGGTCCGTCAGACTGTTTCTGTGGATCCTCGTCGGTCCATTTTATTTGATTTATTTATTATACAAAGTCTTTTTTTTTAAAACGTTGAAGTCAAGATTTAAATCTCCACGTGTTTGATTCTGTTTATTTAAAAGTTAGAAACTCTGCAGTTTGTCTTTTCTGCCACCAGGAGGCGACAAATCACCGCTGAGTTAGAAAATACCTGCTCATGAGAGACTACGACTCCCAGCATGCATTTCACCGACAGGCAGCCAATCAGAGAGCTTCACCTTCTGAAGACACTAAAGATAATAAATAAACTCAATTTACAGTTTAAATCTGATCACATCCTGATTCTGGATCAATTCAGTGATCGATCAACTCACTGGTATCAATATGGAGGCACAAAAAAATAAATCAGTAATAATTATTATTAACATTTAATACAATAAATCACAAAATGGGAAATTAATTAAAGTATTAACAGAACTGTGGAGGTTGACGTAAACATTTGGAAATCAGAAAATAATTTGAAAAAAAAAAAGTAAAAAAAACAAAAAGATAAATATATAAACGTAAAGCTGATCATAAACTAAGTAAATGGATAAATAAAATAAATAGACACATAAATTAATAAATCCACATATTTGACCAAAAAATTAACAAGTAAGGGACAAATACAGAATATTAAAGGGCAAGTGTTTTAATAAATATGGAATTAAATACATGTAGAAATAGATAAATGTATAAAATAATAAAAATAGTAAATAGGAATACATTAAGTAANAGAGAAATCCTGGAGGACAACCTGATGCAGTCTGCAGGAGAACTGAGACGTGGAGAAGACTTGGTTTCCATCAATGAGCCGAAGCAAACAGCCAAAGCTCCACAGGAATGGTTTGAAGACGACAAGGTGAAGTTCTGGAGGTCCAGTCAGAGTCCAGACCTCAAAGGGTCAAAGGTCTAAAGGTTTTATATTTTCAGTTAACTGACTTTGTAGAAATTTGTTTTCACTTTGACTTGAGAGAGTCTTTTTTTGTAAAATATTTGTCAAAAAGTCAAATTAAATTGACCCTGACTCAAAGTTAAAATCAATAAAGGGAGAATCTTCTAAGGTGAGTAGAAACCTTTTATAGCTGCTGTGTGTTTACGGTGTTATTTGGTGTTTTTGTTTATGAGGTGAAGCTTTTGGATTTGTGGCTCACAGCGACCAGCTGGAGGTGAAACTGAACATCGATACTGATGTGTGCTCAGAGTTCATCGACCCTGAAATCCAGCAGCAGCAAACCTCAGAGGATCAGAAACACCGAAACGCTTCACATCGGAGGGACGAAGCCCAGCGACGCTGCAGAGAACCAGAACCGAGAAGAACCTCAGAACCTGAGCCGACGGTAAGAACCTGGATCAGAACAGACGTCTAGTCACAGATAGAAAACTTAAATCTGAAGTCTGGTGGTTTTTAATCAACTGGTGAACGTTTCAGGTTTTCATTCGGTTTGATTTAAGTGAAGCATGTGACCCAAACAGACAACTGACGTTATATCAGAAGTTCAAACTGGTGTCATAAACAAAAGTGCTGCTCGGTCCAGGATACAAAAAAAGACAAATATTGAGGTGGCTGTATCACGATGAAATGAAAAAATTAGAGGCAATAGTTCTACGTGTTGTAAATGTAGTAGTTACATTTTGTGCAGTTTGTTTATTACTGTTGTTGTTTTTCTATTTTTCTTATACGCTGTGGAGCCACCTAGTGGTCATTCTGCACATTTACCACCTCTAAGTTTATGGGCATGGTGGTGGCAGCATCATGATGTGAAGGTGTTTCCAATCATCCTGCTTTTAAAGTGAAATATTTAAACATGTACAAACATCGTCTCCATTTTTAGAATTCATCATTTGACTTTTGAGCTGTTTCCTCAGAGGAGTTCGTTGGATCTGTTTTCTTTTAAGGGAGCTTCTGAGTCAATCTGACTGTACGAATGACTCAAGTCTTGACATGTTTCAAATGTTAGAAATCATACAAACAAATGCAATAAAAATTATTTATGTACCATTTGTTGTCCTGTAGCTTTTGCTGCAAGACACCGTTGCTGTTTTGGGTGCTTTGTGTTTAGATGGTGTTAAAGTTTCTGATGTTGTGTCTCCAGGTGTTTCCAGATATCTCCAATAACAACGATAAAAATATAGGTTATAGTTTCTCCAACCAGTAAAACACAATAGATTACGTCTGAGCAAATAAACTAAAACGTAGAGGATCCAGAATCGAACCCTGAGGAACACCACAAGAACTTACTGCTGCTGCTGATGGGCGATGATGAGACTTTAAATCAGTGTACAGCAATGTTTTGGGTCTCAGAACTGGTTGATGTTGTGTCTCCAGGTGCGTCCAGGTGACTTCAAGTGTCTCCAGGTGTCTCCAGGTGCGTCCAGGTGACTTCAAGTGTCTCCAGGTGTCTCCAGGTGCGTCCAGGTGACTTCAAGTGTCTCCAGGTGCCTCCAGGTGTGTCCAGGTGTGGTGGGTCTGTCCAGCAGCATGGCGGTGTGCCTGCAGGTGGTGGGTCTGCTTCTGGGCGTGGTGTCCTGGTGCCTCCAGTCCAGCTGCACCTCGTCCCAGGTGTGGAAGGTGCGGAGTCAGGCCGAGTCGGTCAGCAGCAGCCAGTGGACGTTTGAAGGTCTGTGGATGAGCTGCGCCGCCACGTCGCTCGGCTCGGTCCAGTGCAGCCGCTTCAAGACGGTTCTGGGCCTCCCGGGTAAGAAGTCGACCGATTATGTTCCTCGAAACGTTCTTCCTGTGTTCTTTAGTCCTCTAAACGCTGTTCCACCTGCAGCTCACCTGCAGGCCTGCCGAGCCCTGATGATCATCTCGCTGCTGCTCGGTCTCGCCTCCATCGTCGTCTCCGTTCTCGGACTCAAATGCACCAAAATCGGCCGAACGTCGGATCAAGTCAAGGATCAGATCGCTCTGAGCGGAGGAGTCATGTTCATCCTGTCCGGTACGGCGCTGCAACAACTCCTCTTAAAGGGGAAGTACACCAAAAAAACAAGGAGTTCAAGGTCTTTATTTACCGTTTGTGGACAAACAGTCAGTCGGGGAACATCGGAGTTCTTGTGGAGGGTTCTCTGGGAGTCGAGTAGAAACACCTGATAACACATAAAGTAGACGTTGAAGCAGCTTCACGTCTTCGTCTGGAAACAACTGAATGAAACAAACTCACAGGAACTAACAGGTTCAGTTTAAGGATTGCAGGTTTCACTGAGTTCTTTATTAACGTTCTAAGATCTCAGCGGTTCTTCAAATCAGTCATTTACAGGTGAACATGGAGGTTATTGGGTCAGACAGCAGTGAGGAACCTTTGGACCGTCTTCAAGAAATGTTTTACAGATTCTGAAGCCATCGTGGACAAGTTTGTACCATTTTTAGAACATAGAGTTGAACCATTTTTGGCCCATTTTACTTGTTGGGTGTGTCTGTGGGTGTGCATTAGAACTTTATTAGATAGAACTTTATTTACATGTCATCTGAAGTGTTTTCTGAGTTATTTTTGACCATTTTAGACCATTTTTGTTTCCTTTTGGACACGTTCATGTCCCTCCAGACACATTTGTAGTTGGTTTGGATGAGTTTCGTAGACGATTTTGAGCCATTTTGGACTTTTTAAATCATTTTCTGTAACTTTGAGACAGTTTCATGTCGTTTTAGATGCATTTTATCACTTTAGGACACTTCCAACGACAACTGTTAACACATTCTTGACGTGTTTTTGTTGTTTTGGAGTCGTTTTTCACAGCTGATGAATCATTTTAGGCGTGTAGGTTCGTTATTTGCCTGAATGTTGTGAACTTGTGATTATTCTTCAGCTGGTGTTTGTTCAGTTTTCAGCTGACGTCCAGTTTTTCTTCTTCAGGTGTTTTTACTCTGACGGCGGTTTCCTGGTACGCTGCCCGAGTCATCCAGGACTTCTATGATCCTCTCTACGGAGGCGTCCGGTCAGTCACCTCATATATATATATGATGTTTATCTATGTATATGTTGGTGCTGCTGACGCTGAGTGTTGCTGCTGCAGGTTCGAGCTCGGTACTGGTCTGTATCTGGGCTGGGCGGCGTCCAGTCTGGCTCTACTGGGAGGATCGATGCTGTGCTGCTCCTGCAGGAGGAAAAACTCTCCACCTCCTGTCAGGTAAACANTGAATATTATTTATAAACAAATGACTAAATTAATATGCAATAAAATGATAGTAAATAAATGGAAAATAAAAGTAAATTATTACAGAGACAAACAGAAAAAAAATCACAAAAATATAATTTAAATAGAATTTTGACACTTTTTTTTGTTTTTCTTTACTTTTATAATTAGAATTAAAAACAAACAAACAAACACTTGAGCAGCTGATTGGTTTAAACTCTACAGCAGCAGGTGTGACTCTAATTAATGACTTAATAAACGAGCTGAAGGTTCTGGAGGAATCCGATCCAGATGTTGAAACAGCTGCTTGTTTTGTTCCCGTTTCTGCTTCTCTGTGCGATAAACCAGAACCCTGAGGACGGGTCCAGAGCTGCAGGACGCCAGCGTCTGTCGTCGCCTCCTAATGAACAGAACCTCAGACGGACTCCAGAGACGCTCACGTTTCATTTAATACATGAGAACAAGTTCAGCGACTCGGCCCAGATGCTGGGAGTCAAACATGTCAGCAAAATCCAATCCAGCTTCAGCTCTGAGCTCCGTCTCCAATCAGTCAATCAGCTCGTTAATCCATCATTAATCAGCTGTGAGCCAGAAAAACAACAAACACAACAAACCAGTTTTTACTGTTTAAAGACTCAGAAAACTGTGAAAAGGAGCAAATGAAGCTCAAACTAATCGTCCAGATTAGTTCAGCTGTAAACCGTGAACATGTTTAACTGGTCCGTCATCACATCGCTACTGGTTCTGGTTCTGGTTCTGGTTCTGATCTAAACACCATGTTTCAGTGTCTGAGTCTGTGATTGAAACCACTGAGTGTGTACTACTACTCCTACTACTTGTACTCTTTCAACTACTACTATGACTACTTCAACTCCAAGTACTACAACCATTAGTGCTACCACTTCAACTACTGCAACCATGACGAGTACTACTAGTACTGCTACAACTAATACTACCATTGCTACTATAACTATTACTACTCCTTCTAATTCAACTACTACAACTGTTACAACAACAACTACTACTACCATTACTACTACATGTATTACTACTGCTCCTACCAATACAATTACTACTACAACTATGACTACTACTAGTACTATATCAAGTACTGATGCTACCATCAAAGCTAATGTTTGCCACATTACTGCTACTACTACAGCGAATACCACTACTACCACTTTACTTTCTTCTAATAGTACTTTAACTATTGCTCCTACAGCTAGTACTACTCCTACTACGACTACAACTATTACTACTACTACTGTTTGAACTACTACAACTTACTACAATTACTACTAATACAACAACTACTAACACTACTAGTACTATTTCAACTAATGCTGCTGCTGCTGTTAGTACCACTACTATCATCGCAGCTAAGGTTAGCCACAA